AACGTCGTTCGACGGTTTCAGCCAAGGCTTTGCGGCCCAAGGTTGCCACGATGTACAAACAGGCCATTCACGACCTCGAGAAGGACTTTTGGAAGGCAGGACAGGAAGCAAGGCGAAAGAAGACTCAGGCGGCAGAGAAGGACGCAAAGAAACAGAAAACGCAGTACGACCGGGTCTACAACAAACTAAGTGCCACGGTGGACGAGAAGGTCAAGGGCATGGTTCCTGGTAATGTACATATTTGGACGGACCCGAAAAATGGCCGTTGGAAGGTATCCTACAAAACCGACGTAGTGAAAATTACCCGTAGTATTTCCTGGACACAGGTCGGCGAAAATGTCGCCGGCAAGGCATGTGTCACTCAAGCCTGGGCTTGGGTGGAGCACCACGAAGGACGTGAACCACCAGGAAACCTGGAGGAGCGCCTGAGGATAAGTTTCCGTTCATAGGCTAATTAATAGGTTCAGTTCTCAGAAGTCACACCTGCACGGAAACTTGAATTCCACGGACATGCCCCGATTGTTTCCTTGTTTGTTTTAGTCGGACACATGATTGTCGGCTATGATGCTGGACTGGACACCCGTTGGCCAAAAAAAAGCCGCTGCACACATGCAAACAGTGTGAGTCCACAATCAATAAAAATCGATGCAAGTCGGTTTCTGGCACCTCAGTATTAAAAAGCACCTGCTCTGCATTTGGTCATGGTTGCGTGCACTGCAAGACTGCATCGCCCAGGAATGCCCAATCTAATGTCGTAATGTCAGAGCCATGTCACGTCCTTAATGCAGACTTAACAGTCACTAGGTCGCAAGACGATGTCAGGTTGGTTGCTTGATGTAGTTGTCGTGGGCCTTCGCAGAAGGAGCAGGTAAGGGTAAGCTTTTTTTTCGCTGTTGGCAAGTACACCTGTGCATCTACATTCCCCTCTGCGTAGGACCTCGTAGGACTCGTCGATCCGTGCTTTAAGTACTGTGCCATGGTTGGACGACCAAAACTGAAAGAAGTCGGACTGCAGCGCCTGCCGTCGGCCTGGGCACTGTTCCTCGCCGATCAGAGAAAGGACGCTGTCAACCCTGATGATCGCAGACGCTTGTGCAAGAAGACAACACTTCGGGGGCGTGCTTATTATCAGCACAAGTGGCCTCTTGCTAGCAGAGTCAGATGAAAGTTATACAAAATAATAAATATCATCTAGCTGCACTTGTCTAGAACACTGTACCATTCAGTCCGTATGACAGTGTTTCCAGCACGAGTACATGTCTGAGCAGAATATGACTCAGCAAGCGATCTCTCTGGTAGTAGAAGTCAGTCTATGCCAAGTATTTTGTGTCATGAAAGGGGAGTTTTGTAGGATTCCTGCGTTCCAGGTAAGATACATTGTACACTTCTGCAGACATACTGCTACCCTGAAAACGAATTGATGCAGTGCCTACCCCAGGAAGACACGGCCGGACCTGCGGGAGGCATACTTGAAAAAAGCCCACGACGGCTACAATCAGAATCGAGCTGAACGAAAGGAGTATGAACGAGCCCGACGGACAGAAGTACCTGCTTTGTCTTCGACGGACAAGCCAGTACCCGAAGTTCCTCTCGGCGACGACTTTGAAGGACGTGGGGTTTTTCGCTTCACAGCCGAAGACCCGTTGCTCGCCGAAGGACTGCTGGGTCGTGGCACGTACGGGGAGGTCTTCGCCTGCCGTTTTCAATCCCTCAAGTTGGCTTTGAAGGTCGCCGTTCGCACACCCGACAAGGACACGGCAGTTGTGGACGTGCACAAGGACGGTTTGGAGAAGACGTGGGACTTGACCCGAGAGTACACCGTCATCAGCCAGGTCGGACCTCACCCGAATGTTCTGCAGCTCTACTCGTTGGTCACCTCCTCGACTTCGCACACCGGCATCTTGATGGAACGTGCATCTTGCGATCTGTTCAAGGTGGTCCGGGAGCTCAAGACGGAGGACAAGGACGATGGGGTTCCCTGGACCACCCGACGGACTCAACTAACATCCTACTTTCGGCAGACACTCGTAGGCTTGACGTATGTGCATGGCAAGAACATCGTGCACTTGGACGTGAAGACGAACAACTTCCTCGTCTTCCTCCCCGAAGAGCGAGTGGTGCTTTCCGACTTTGGCTTTTGTCGAGCTTTGCCCATAGGTGGGAAATGCAGGGTCAGAGCTGACGAAGTCTACGCGGCGTACTACCGGCCGATCGAGTTGCTTTACAGCGGTGCCGCCAAGGCGCGCAGGAGTGTCTGGCACTTGCAAAGTCAGTTTGTGACTGCATTTTGCTGCTGCTGCTTTTTGAAGTAGTTCCCTGCCAGGACTACCCTACTTTGCCCATGCTGTCCCATGCCTCAGTAAAATTAAAAATACCTCTGCCGAGCTTCCAATGTTGGTTTCGATGGCCAGATGATAGGCAGAAACAGTCCTTGAGTCATGGAAGTGAACTTTAGCTGATTGAGTTTTACAATCATTGGAGATTGACAAGTACTCCATGGCATCCTTTGCAGAAGAATATTCTTAGGACTGAAAAGGACTCCTCAAAATTCGTTGTAGGTTACAGAATTGGCCTGCCAGCCATAATCATCCATAAGACATGCACAGACAGAAACCGGTCTGGTTTCTGTCTGCAACGGTGCCTGAAGTCAAGATATGAGCCAAACCTTTGGTATCCCTGTCCTTAACAGGTGGAGGTCGGCCTGCGGGCAGACATGTGGGCATTCGGCGTGGTGGCATGGGACTGCTATGCCCGCAGTACAAGGTCGCTCTTCGCTCCGGACCCGAAGGCCTTGGTGAAAACCTCAAAGAGCATCGAGCAGGCCCTGCTGCGGTTCCACACTGCGTGGCGTGAGAAAGCAACCGATTTACACTTGCTGGACGACGACATCGCTCAACCCACCTTTGCTGCGTGCTTCCGACTCGAGGACGAAAGACGAAGTTCACAGGACTTGTACAGGGATCTGCGGTTCCGGCTGGTCCAGACAGTGGAAAGTGCGATTTAAGAGTCCGACAGGGAGTCCTCGCCGTACAGCTCAGAATCGTGCAACAGTAGATGTTTTCCATAATACCTCATATTTCTCAACTTTGGTGTCCGTCGGTCGAACTGTGCATGCCAGGCTTTCATTGATTGGGTTTGAGACACATATTTCCAGGACACGATGTTCTCAGTCGTTTCTTCGGTCCTGTTCATGAGCAAGAGTTCGCACAGTTACATAAGTCGGTGTATCGTATATCTGGCTTCTTGCACATAGCTAGAGAATAGACGGCCAGTCTTGCCCTGCAGAGCACTCGCCTGAGTCGGCAAAGTAAAAAGGGTGCCAAGACTTTTTCCAATTGCAGTGCTGCTGCAGAGCGTGCATGTTTCCTCGGAGTCACACTGACGTAGGACACTTTCTGTGACAGTGCAGTGTAGCCTCGTCTGATGGTGCACGACAGTCCCTCTGTGTACATTGCAGGCCGCGGGAGAGATGCTCGCAAAACCCCCGATGAGCAGAAGTCGAAGCACTTCAAGGACCCTTTGTTGTGCCTTTGCAATTTCTTTGACAGGAACAAGGCCAAATCCTTCAAGTCGTCGGGTCAGCTGCTTTTCGGTACAACCTGTGCACACAGTTTCCATGCAATGTATAGGATTGGCATGCAGGTTTGGGTATTCGGGAGCTGCTAGAAGTGGATGTTGTAGTCTAGAAAGGTTTCTTGCCCCTCTTGTTGTACTCCGTTGGCCAGTCTTTGGTTGGTCTCAGGAGGTTCTGCGAGGTTTCTCGGCTTCAGAAGCCAGCTCTCGAAGCACATGACATGCAGCAGCCTAGAAACAGACAGGTGATTCAGCAGCATCTTGTTCAAGTAGACACTCCGGAGGTTTTTGGGCCAGAGCAGCAGCAACAGTTGCGGTAGATTGAGATCATCCCGTTGTTCAGGATTAGTTGCATTTTCTGCACTTGGCATTTGCCCATCGCCGGACACCACTCGTCGGTCATCCATGGCTCTGCGCCGGTCATCGCAGTTCCGCCCCGAAGATTTACCCACGCCGGACAGACCACGCAGACTTGATCACACACAAGCATGCATGGACAAGGTCGAAGTTCACATTCCGCAGTACAGCTCCGAGGAGCGGGCCCCATACATTGCTGCATCTGGGAGTCGCACGAAGGAGTTGTTCAGACTTTGGGCGAGGACGCTGACACCGGAGGACATGAGCTACTGCAAGGGAATGTTGCAGGAGAGCAGGCGACTCGATGGACGATACGGGTCGATCTGCAGTGGGATGGACATCGGGGCGATCGTCATGAAGCAATTCTGGGAATGGGCACGTTTTAAGTTTGAGCTGGATGCGTCGGGCTTTTCTCACAAATTTGCATGCGAGCAGGACGAATCCAAACGCAGCTTCCTTTTGGCAACACACCCGGAGATCCAGAACATGTTCTGTGACGCCACGGAGTTGACAGCAGACGCAAAGGTCCTTGACACAGTGACAAACACCCATGTAGAAGTGCCACTCTGTACAGTCTTGACAGCAGGCTTCCCTTGTCAGGATTGCTCGGTCCTGAACCCAAACTCGTCCTCGTCGGCCAACAGATCCTGTGTTGCAGCAGGAACCCTTCGTACAGGCTCTGTGCTGCAAGGCATCGTTCGCTACCTCAAGACGATGGGCCCCAAAGGACCGAAGTTCTGTTTTTTTGAGAACGTCGCTGGACTCAAGGCCAAGGCCAAGGACGAGCAAGGAAACGTAGGACATTCGAATTTGGACCACGTCGGACACTTGCTGGACACCGAGACAGATCGTCTTCTGCATGTCTGGGAACTGGATCCCCGAATGTTCGGTGTACCTCAAAGTCGCAAGCGGCTTTGGATGACGGCCATTCCTCGTCGGTTCTTCCGAGGACTCGTTCCAGAACCCGAAGTTCACAAGATGCTCAACACCATCATGAACACTCTGGCGGGCTTCACGCAGGCCATGCTCTCCCAGTATTTGGTTGAGCCGAGGCCGGTTTTTGCAGAGGAAGGGTGATTTTTTTTTGGGATCCAAGGGTTTTTTAGGCTAAGGGCAAAGTGTTCATGCATTCTTTAAATTCAGGAATTGCAGTAGAGAGCATTCAATAATCTTATAAATTCGATTCATAGATTATCATCTTTGTGATAGCATGATTAGTATGCCCTATTATTATTTTTGGCAAGAACATGGGTGCATCCATCAGATAATTTCAAGCAACTTTCTTCTAGGTAGCCAAGTACAATTCACGAATGTCTGGGCCAAGCGAGAAGCTAGCCATGGGATCAGTGTCCTCTAGTCTAGTGTAGGTAAGAGTGCAGGTCCACTTTAAGATGATGGCTTCTGGGACACACCCCGGAGTCCATGACATGTCACACTTCCGCCGTAAGTAAGTGCAATGTACGACATGATGCAGAATGCAGTGCTTTATCTCAAACTCAGGATACAAACTTAACGTGAAGCTTACTTAGCTCTCATGCAGGTCGTTGGCCCTGACGAAGTTCCACACAGAGTACGAAAAGAGGTTAAAGCAGATCCAGACTCGACGGGCTCGGCGCCGGGCAGCAGCTCAACCCTCTGACCTTGGTGCAAATTCGCAGGACACAGTTGCAAACCGGCGACAATCCTTCGCTTCATCTTATCAGTCCAGCCGAGCAGGAAGCACTGGCCGGCTGAGCACGTGTTCCTCGGGGACCCGGCTGCTGAAGCGGGAGAAGATCGTGACAAAGGAGTGGTTAAAGAAGTTCCGCCGGGCAGCGCGGTCCAGGCCGTACTTGAAGTGTATGACGGCCCGCAAACGCAGGACTTTGTTCAAACTGCATGTGAAGGACTTCCCGACTGAAGACACGAAGGTCATCGACATCTCGCAGGACAAGTTTGCCCACTCGACGAGCCATTCCCCGTGCGTGACCCCGAAGGGCGAGCGGTACTTGACGTCGGAGTGCCGCTCCATGGTGCCGGAGGAATCCTTCCGGCTGCAGGGCGCATGGCTCAGCAGTGAATCACTCGAGCAGTTCCCGCAGAGCCTCCTCGCAGATCTGGCTGGCAATGCCTTCGAAGCCAGTTGTTTTGCAGCGACGTTCTGGGCCACGATGGTCTGCTATGGACGACTCCATGTACTCTCGCAGAACAACCCGTCATCACACGGTGTAGCAGTGGAGCCCCGCCGAGCACCCGAAGTTCAAGCCTTGAGGACGTACGACACACCGGACTTCGACTCGCAGGTCCTGCTGGACTTCAGTGACCACGAGGACTCTCGAGTCCAGATGGAGTGACACAGGGCGTAACACTGTTCCATGGCAACGACGACCGCCGGTGTAAACAGTGAGCTTCGCAGGGCTGGGTTCTTCAGATTTCTTAGATATTATTGTTGTAATCCTGAGTATGTTATTCCTTAATCACTATTGAATACTAGTTAGTTCTTCATGTTGGAAAGGAGTACTTGTTGTCAGTCGTCGATTCGTTGCAAAGTCTTACATTAAGTGCACCTGGTTGGCCTTGGAAGAGTGAAGTCGAGCTGCAGCCGAACTCCGTGCACCCGAGGTAAAATATTATTATGTTCCTTGGTTGGACCTAGGATACATCAGTCTGTCTCAGTCCTTCCTTTTTGATGTAGATCTCAAGCATCATTGACGGCATTGAAATTTCTAGGAAAACGATTCGAGGAGCCAGTGTAATTTGGGATGATGTGAGCGGGGTGACCGCTTTTATCCGAAGGCAAAGCAACAATACAGTAGTCCAATGAGAGCGATCCCATGCACGCCATCTCATTATCCCTCGTGTGTTATCCAGAGCCCCATGAATATGAAAACTCCCGTGGTTTGGTGAACCTGGCTGTGCAGAATGCCTCAATATTTTCATCCCATCCCAAAACCTGTGAAACCGTAGATACCCTTAACTTCAGAATCGCACTACTCCCTTACTAATCCCTTCCAGTTTTGACCCCGCAAGACATGCCGACTCTCGCAGGACACAGACATCTTGGACGACAGCTGCACCGACTCTACTCGGTTCATCGGTCACCGCCACGACGAAGTTCGGAAGATAGATTGGTTGCTACGGTTATTTCCTTAAGTGTGCGGGTTTCCTGTTGAAATCATAGGACACTAATTGAAATGCACTTGAAATGCACTTGAGATTCCCCGGCTTCTTGTTGAAATGCACTTGATCTGTGCAGGTTTGGCTTTTGCTCCAAAACTGTGACATGGTAGCAAATTTATGTCGGAAAGCACTTTAAGTGAGGCTGGAGTAATTCCATTTTCCAATTGCAAGTAAAGTAAGATTGCTGTGCTTTAAACACATGCCACACATCGTGTGCATCCCTGGAATTGTGTGGCTGGACC